AAATATTTTTTAATTTATATTTTAAAGATACAGAACTGAAAAGAAAAAAAAAATCCCTTTTAAGTAAACAATGTAAGTAACAAAGCAACTTTTCCTCTCAATTAATGGTCAAAATTATCAATTATGGCATAAGCTTAGGAGAAAAGGAGAAAGGAAAAAGGCAGAAGTGAAAGAAAGATGGTAGAAACAGAACCTCCTCTTGTATTTTATCGGTGGTTACTACAGTTTAATAGGACTATCGATAAATTATACCCTTAATCAATAATCGAATCTTACCTAAATTAAAGTATTAATCTAATTTTTAATTCTTAATTCCTAATTATTGCTCTTGTCAAAAAAAAAAAAAAAACCAACCCACCTAATATTTTGAGTCCTATGATGACATGAAACTGGAGGGTGATGTTGTCATGTTATATTTAATTATTAATGTTATATTTTTTTATTTTAATTATTTATTATGTTTTTTAATTTTAAAAAAAATAAAAAATATAAACTTTTTTTAAAACAAAGTAATATAAATATATAATAAATAATTATCTTAAAAAATATAACATTAATCATTTAAGATTTGATAATAACTACCCATCCGAAAGCTTAATAAATGCTTGAAATAAAGAGTAGCAGAATGCAGACTGAAGTTGAACTCATGTGATTGGACAAAATGGCTAAGGTCTATGGACCTTTTCTTAAAGCCCCCCCCCCCCCCCCCCCCCACCCAAAACAGTGTTTCAGAATTGATGGCAGTACATTATTCCTCTACTTTCCTCAAGATCTGTGCAAGAAAGAAAAAGGAACAGCAAAAGTGCACAAAATCAAAGAAAATATGTTTTTGTTTCTTTTAAAGATAACCAGAACAAATTGCAAATTTCTCCCACAAGTATGGTAAGACTACACTTTGGTCCAAGACTTTCAAAAATGCTACATTTTCCACCTTGAGTTTAGGACATTGTTTGCTTTTTGTTTGTCATTGCTAGCGTAAGTGAAACCACTTAAGCTTTATTTAGTAAATGCCTAAAATGCCCCGTAGTTAATTGTTGAAAATAAAATTAAATAACTATTCATCAAATACTTAACAAGTTCTTTTACCTCCTTTCTTTGCAAACCTTCCTATCCATCTACTACTAAACTATCCCTCAAGTGAGGTAGAGAAATTTTGAAGCATGCAAGGGTTTGTTATTCAACAATTAATTATAGGATATTTTAGACATTTACATAATATTGGGTATTCAAATGATGAGTATGAAAAATTTGTTGATAAAGTGTAGTCAACATCTTATGCAAGACTTAAAATTCTATTAAAAATAAAACCATGAGATTTATCTCCCAAAAACACACCATTTCTCGTAAAAAGATACAATATAGATCTTGATATTAAATTATTAATTGCCACAAATGAAAAGCAAATGGCACCCAACATTATAATAGAAGGTGAGAGGAATTCTTTGGAAAGTCTTGAACCAAATGTAATTCAAACTATAGTTGGAGGGAGTGTATTCTTTAATTTCTCAAAATAATTACTACCCCATTTTGAATGTGATTATGCCTATA